GCCTTCTCCTCGCCTGTATATTTCAACCGGCTAAGTCAGAGCCAGTCAGGCCAGGACTGGACTTCTCTCCTTTTCTATCTTCATTATGTCCCTAAGATTCCAGATCCTTCCAGAACATTCTGGCATATGTCTCCTTATCCCCCAGCTACCAACTCCCTCTACGCCAGAGAGAGCCCAGGAAGCACCCAGGGCTTCCCAGCCAGGGCCAGGTTTGCATTCCAATCACAACCTTTGTGTCTGACTCTCTCTGGATGAGTAACTCCTTGAGAGAAGGCTTCTTGCTCACTCCTCCCCAGATGAGAACTTTAGATAAGAGAGCTATCTGATAAACATTTGAAACAATAATATATGCCTGACTTGATTTTGATGGAACCTATGCTTAGAATATTTTCATTTCCTTTAATTAAGATGTTTCCAGCACAAGAGAATGTGCATAGCGAGACCAAGGGGAGTGGGAGGGTGTCATGGGTGGAGACGGAGGTAGCTTCCTGTCCAGGAGACAGCTCTGGGATTTTTAAGGGAACACTGCTGCCCCATTGTGGACACCTTTCCTCAGCACAGCCAGTGGCATTTCTTTGCTCTGGGTCTCAACATTTTTGCTCTCAATGCCCTTTTAAGCTGTAAAATAGACTGTTTGCGTCTGTGAGTTAGAACTTAAAATGTTTCCCATGTTAGAAATTTAAAGGTAAAGGTAAAGGCCCTCCCGTTGATCGTCGATTTGCTCGAGCGGGCCTAGTAACGTCTCCATTGGAGACTTTGTTGTTACTGTGTCTGGCATATCGAATACTCTCGGTAGCTTGCCGAGAGCCCAGCAAGCTACCGAGAGTATTCGATATGCCAGACACAGTTAGAAATTTAAAGCATTTAAAATAACTATAAATTCATTTAAAATAACATCAAAATCCCATTATTTATGAACACATTTTAAAAGAAAAGTAATTTTTATTTTTCAAAAAAATCTATGGGTTTGGCAGAGAGACAGGAGGTGGGGTAGGTGACAAGAGGGAACTGAGGATATTGATGGTGAGAAATGTAGACTGGTGAAAAGATGGTTGTTGGAATATTATATGACTAAAACCCAATCATGAACAACTTTGTAACTGTGTATCTCACTGTGATTTAATTTTTTAAATGATTTTATTATTTTATAAAGTAGTTCACAATATTTCTTTACATTTAATACTGAAACATCAATCCCACCACGATTATACCTTCTCATCACTGTATTTCGGGTGTTTCCATCCCGAATCCCAGTCCCTGCCCTAAAGCAGAACTGAAATAATATGTTTTTTATTGTTTGTTATGAAAAACTACTGAAAATGCTACGAAAATGTATTCTTAGAGGAAAGAGGGTGAAGATTGTTGTATTACACTAAGCCCTTTTATAAGAGATCACTAACGTTGTTAGAAGTTGAGCCTTGTGTGCTTTTATATATTTATCTGTAAAAAAATATTTTCCTCTATGATTGGTTGCCTCCTACTTTGAATTCCATCAAATGTGGTGCAGTACTCTTGGAGTATGGGTAGGGTGTATGATATGAAGTGACACGCGGCCACAAATGCAGCCGCATGGTCCAGTAATGGGTTCAGTCGTCAGTGAGGCTCCGCCCAAGCATGTGGAAAGTGGTCGTGAGTTGGCGGCAGTTGAGTTCTGGAGGTTTTCATCTGTCAGAGCTGGATCTCTCGGGGCGGAGAGGGGTCTCACCCACCCCCCTCCAGGATGCCTTGAGTGAAACAGCCTGGCATAGGGACTGGCAGCATGGTTATGGCGAGCGTCATGTTATGCTCCTTTCCAGGAGATAAGGACTGTGATTTAATTTTTTTTTAAGTTTATGGGCCGGAGCAATGGTACAGAGGGTAGTGCATTTGCCCTGTCCACAGCCAACCCTTGGCAATCCCCTGGTTCCCAGAATCCCTCATAAGTTCTAACTGTGTACCTCACTGTGATTCAATTTTTTTTTATCTATAGGCTGGAGCATAGGACACTTGCACAGAGCCAATCCTTGGTTCCCAGGACCACTTGCAAGAAGCACTGCTTACGCTGAAACACCATGGAAGCAAACCATGTTCCTGCTGCTTTTCTCCATACTCCCATCTCTCTGCACTTTTTCTTTTTCTTTTCTTTTGTTTGTTTTTTTAAATTTTTTAAAATTTAAAAATAATTTTTTTATTAGTGAAACACCACGAGGTACAGTTATAGATTTACAAATTTTTGTGCTTGGGTTTCAGTTATACAATGATCAAGTACCCATCCCTCCACCAGTGCCCATCCTCCACCACCACAGGTCCCAGCATCCCTCCGACCCCCCATTCCCCCCATCACACCCTGCCTCTGTGGCACGTCATTCCCTTTTGTTCTCTCTCTCTCCTTTTGGGTTCTGTGGTTTGCAAGAGAAGCATTGAGTGGCAATCATGTTTGGTCTACAGTCTACTTTCAGCATGCTTCTCTTATCCTGGGAGGATCCTCCAAACACTCTTTATTTGGTGCTCCCTTCTCTATCTGAGCTTCCTTTTCCCCTAGCATGTGTGGCTGGACTCCAAGTCATGGAGCAAAATTCCTGGTGCTAATCTCGGTCACTCCTCAGTGTTAGTCTCCCATTATGTTACTTTATGTTCCCCAGATGAATGCAATCTTTCTGTGTCCATCCCGCTCTTTCTGACTCATTTCACTTAACATGACACTTTCCATGTAGTACCATTTGTATGTAAATTTCATGACTTCATCTTTTCTAACAGCTACATAGTACTCCATTGTGTAAATGTACCAAAGTTTCTTTAACCAGTCATCTGTTCTCGGGCACTCAGGTTTTTTCCAGATTCTGGCTATTGTAAAGAGTGCTGCAATGAACAAACAGGTGCAGATGTCACTTCGACTATACTTTTTTGCCTCTCTGGGATATATTCCCAGGAGTGGTATTGCTGGGTCAAATGGGAGCTCAAAATCTAATTTTTTGAGAATCGTACATACTGTTTTCCAAAAGGGCTGAACCAGTCAGGCATTCCCACCAGCAGTGAAGGAGGGTTCCCTTTCTCGCCACATCCTCTCCAGCACTGGTTGCTTTTGTTCTTTTGGATGTGGGCCAGTCTCTGTGGTTCTGCACTTTTTCTAAGCTTGCCCTTCTATGTCCAAGCACTGACAAAGAGACAGAACCAGAAGTTGTGCTCCTGAGATGGGGAAGTCCTCAGGACAACCCAGGATGGTTCTTGGAGGGGACGAGGGGTTTTGAGTCTCCATTCTAATCTTGGAGAGTCTTTGAAGAAGTCAGGCTGAGAAAAAGTCTCAAAGACAAGCTCAGGGGAGAACTGTCAGGCTGAGGGATGGAAGGTTGGGGAGTGACTGGTGATGAGGAATTCAGCAGGTTCTGTTCAGACCTGGAACCAGAGAGCAGTGCCTTTCACAACCTTCTCTTTCTCCCTCTTGCTGCTCTTGGACAACACAGACATTCACCTCAGCATGTAACTGTGAGGACAAGTAAGTTTCCCCTATGTGAGTAGGCAGGTCCAAGCAATGAAAGCATATGGGATATGTAAAGAGGATTGTAGACACAGGGACTCTTGGTATGAATGTTGGTCTGGGAGAAGATTCATACCCATCTTGCAGTAGTTTCAGACACCCCTTGAGAGAATGTCTACATTGTGTGTCTAAGTATCAGTAGTTTGTGCTAAATGCTGCAGCTAAGGCCCCAGAAACATGCCCTGTGCTTCTTTATCCCATAAATAAGTGGGATAAGTAAATGGGAAGGATTGTGGCTGTGTGTGTGGTAGGTACTGGCTGCCACGAGGCCTTGTACAGGGGTGACCCGGCTGGCTTCCTGCTGCTGTGGCTATATGCACTTAATAGACAGGGGAGGCATGGGAGCAGGGGAGAAGATGGGCAAGTTGGCTACAAGGTCAGACCTAGGAATTCGGCATAGCCAGCTGCCTTCTGGAAGATTCCTTGATACTTTTTTGCCTACATCTGTGCTCTTGGTGACCATGTAAAAGTGGACCAGGAAGGTAGGGTGTTGGTGAATGACTGATCCACGTAGCCTATACACTCCTGCAGCATATGACCTGCATTCCCACCAGAACCCTTGGGATGAGGGGGCTCTGGAAGCTTGGGGACAAGGAAGGACCTGAGGGAACATTGAGCAATTGTGCACTTTCCTGGGGCGGAGGCTTCTAGATTATTCACTGGGCGGATCTCTGCTCTCAGCCAGATTCTGGTTTCACCCAGATCCTCTGGTAGCTACAGAACTGCTGGTGCCTGATGTCTCGAATCTCTGCCCATTTCCTCCTCTCTGTTACTGAACCTGCACTTTCTTTCCTTCTCTGTGAGTCAGGGATCAGGTTCCCTGTTTCTGGGGAGGGAGAGTCCTGGAGTTTCAACAAGAGCAGAACCACAGCTGGAAGAGGAGGTGGGGCCAGAGGCCACATCTGCAGAGTACAACCAGTGAATTGTGGGCTGGGACAGCACAGGACCCGCAGGAAACTCTGCGCATGCGTGTGAGTTTTTCTTCTCTCCCTCCCAGGTGACTGCTCTCCACCACCTGAGTGTTATGATCAGGAGATTTTCTCTGCCCAGGTACTGGGGCTCTCCTCCCTCCCTTACTCTCCTAACCCAACCCAGGACCCAACTGGGAAAGCATCCTCTGCCTGAGGGCCCTTTGTGTGTTTGGATTTCTTGATCCTGCTGTGGCTGAATCTTTAAACCATCTTGAATGGAAGAAGGGACAATTGTGTCAGCTACCCTGTACTGCAGGGATAATAACCATCTTATTGGGGCCAAGATGGTTCTGAGTCTGTAGTCAATGAAACTGAGTTGTTCATGGTAGCAGAATAAGGCATTTACCCATTCATTGTGCTCTTGCTGTAGTGGTGTAGGTGGAGACTCCCAGTTTGCCTGGCAAGTACGCAGGGGGCAGGCTGCAGTGTGAGTGCCCTTCAGAAAGGGCTAGCTGGGCTCAATGTCTGGTTTCTCTCCTAGGGCCGTGCTGCCAGCTTCCCTGGTCCTCGGGAGGATGCTGCTGTGGTTTCTGGTCTTCCTTGTGCCAGCTCTCTCAGCCTGGGGTGAGTTTTCGTTCGGTAGGTCAGAGAGTAACTGAGAAAGTTCATCCTAAAGTCTCATTCTAGGAATTCTTTGGGCATTTGCTCTCCCTTAGGGGGAATAAAATCTTCATGTTTAAGAGCTCAAAACTGGCCTTTAAATCCTTGTACTTCTAGATGTGACTTTAAGAAGGTTATGTAGCTGTTTGACCTTAATTTTCCTCATCTGAAAATTGAGGTAAGGTGATAACTTCCTAAACTGATGGTGAGAAGTCCATGAGTTTTGATGTCAATCATAGCTTCACCTATGACTTGCAGAGAAATTTCCTTTTTTCTTTTTCTTTTTGGGTCACACCTGATGATGCACAGGGGTTACTCCTGACTCATGCACTCAGGAATTACTCCTGGCGGTGCTCGGGGGAACCATATGAAATACTGGGAATCGAACCCGGGTCGGCTGCGTGCAAGGCAAACGCCCTACCCACTGTGCCATCACTCTAGCCCCAGGAACTTCCTTTTCTAATTAGAAAAGGGGAAGGAAGTTACTTGACACACAGGGCCCCCTCCCTGACTCCCTCACTGGTCATAGCCAACCACTTCCAAAGGAACGGATAAGATCTGCACAGATGTTCCAGCTTCCCACACAGGCATTGTGGTTGTAAGTGCCACTATATGTTTCCATGTTGTTTTCTTGGTTGGTTGTATGTTCAGAGGAAATGAAACCACCTCCCTCTTCCTGCCTTCTGGCCCATTCACAGAGCTGGTGTTGGAGAAACCACACATGCTGCTCTCGAAGGCAGTGCCAGTTGCCTCAGAAATGTTCTTGTGTGTGCACAAGCATTGAGAAGTGGGAGGAGGGTGCTTTCCGGCCTGAATCTGTGCCCCTGTGCTGGCTGGCACTAGGGCTCCATACACCCACGGTAATGTTTCCTTGCAGGTGATTCCTCCTGGGCTGAATCAGAAGCTAAACACAGGTCAGAGGAGATTCAGGACCTGTTCGACAACCTCTCTGAGCTCAGGGAAAAACTCAAAGAGCTTCTCAATGGTGAGGAGCTAATGGACTGCCAGAGATTCTGCAGAATTGTGTCCAAAATGTTCTGAGCCAGATGGGTGGGACTGAGATGAAGAGAATACTGCCAGTATATCAACACAGATTGTTTCAGACTTTGTGTTAGTAGGCAAGGGGGGAGGGGGTAGGAGAAGCTGGGGGACTGCAGCAGGGAATAGACACAGGCAGGGGAGAGGCAGCCTTGGCTCTATGGGACCCTCTAGCCAGAGGCTAGATCCCAGCCCTTGTCTTCAGACTGTAAGGGAAGTTGCAGAGCCCACATAGAGGGGGGGTCCCAAACGGAGGTGACCTGGGTGGAAACAGGGAGAAAGTGAGAGGAAGCAGCTGGTGAGCACAGGAGAACAGAGCTGGGTGGGGGCCCAATTCCACTTCAGAGTGCAGAGGTGAGGGGGTGGCTTGGCGCTTCCCTAGATCGGCAGTTATAGGCAAGAAAGACGTTTCGCATGGCAGCAGAGTGAGGAAGAAGCTTCAAGGAGGGAACTCCACGACCACGGTGATGTTTGCATGAGCAACCAGGCGTCAAGGCTTCTCTGGAGAAGGACCTCGGTAGAGGTGGAAAGGTGCTCCCTACCCACTGGGGCTTTCTCCCAGGACTCCTCCATGCCACCAGGTGGGGCAGACACAGCCCAAAAGAAAGGAGCAGTGGCAGGTCAGGGTCCTGTGGCAGTGATGTGACAGGAATGATCCTGACCCACCGCCATGGCCCACTGCCCCACAGACATCTCCAACATGGTATCTCTCGAGAACTGGGCTGAGGAGGCCCTGAACTGCAGCTCCCCGCTGGCCAGACCTGTGCATTTCCTTGTCACGCACCACATCCCCGGGCTGGAGTGCGACAACCAGGCCTCGTGCAGTCAGAGGTTGCGAGAGCTGCAGGTTTACCATGTGCACAACAACAGCTGGTGTGGCGTGGCCTACAAGTGAGCAAGGGCAGGACAAGGAAGGAGGGAGGATGGGGGGAGACCAAAGGGTTCCAGGGCATGATTCCCACCTCTTCTCACTCTATCCTCCTGAATTGTAGGTGTATCATGTTCAGCACGAATAAACTCTGTAAAAGACCCTGTGAGCCATATAGATGGGACAGTGGGTAGAATGTTTTTGCCTTGCACACAGCTGACCCAGGTTCAATCTCTGGCACCACATATGGTCCCCCAAGCCCTGTCAGGAGTGATTCCTGAAGGAAGAGCCAAGAATAAGCCTTGAACACCAAATGACCTGATGAATCCCCAAATCTTCAGGAGTTTTCTGTGAGGCCTTTGAGCCTGAGGTCTCCTGAAAGGAAGTAGGAAGGTGGGGTCATGACTAGATCCCCTCTCCCACCCCCAAGGACAGGTGACCAAGACTCGCACAGCCCCAGTGCATCTGCTCCCTGCAGCAGGGGTGGTTGGTGGCAAGTGTGACCTGCCATCTGGTAGGCGGCTCCATTCACTCAAAGCCACATAGTCTGAGACAGCTCACACTCTCTGGCCCTTGTATATACCACCAAGCTGTGGGGGAGAGGCTTTTGCCTTGGTGAGGCAACGACATGCCCTATCCTAGCGTTCACTCTCCTGACTTTCCTGTACCCAACTTTCCTGTGCCAGGTCGTCATGCTCTCGGCCCACCTCTGATTTTGAACCACTTAGACAGTTCCAGGGCGTGGTGACATTTATAATGATGTTGCTACTTCCTGCTTTTGTCCTTCAGGTTTTTATCCATGTCTCTGGTGACCAAGGGGGTGACGGGAGAGTTATGGTCCCTCAGGGCAGGAGTTTTTGTGTAGTTTCCTCTGCACCCAGTCCTTCCCAGGGGCAATTCTTTGGTCCAAGTGCACAGTTCTGCTGGAGTGAGGGGACTGAGTCCCAACTCAATCCCACATAATTTGTTTGGTTTATTCTTTCTGCCTCACTCCTTCCTCTGGCTTCTGGAATCCCTTCATAAACCACCATGCCTACATACATGGCTGTGTCTGAGCTGCCCCTTCCTGGGAAGTCTCTGTAAGACAGTTTTCCTGGCAGAGAGAACCCGCAGGCTCAGCTCATGTGGAGCTGACACACGCAACCTGCATTTGGGAGGAAAGAGAAGAGCCATGTCTACGGAGAAGGCTGTTGAGTATCTGAGTCTGTGTCAAGGTCGTTTCTCCTTCTGAATTTACAGGATTATTTTTATGTCAAGCTAAGTATCTGAACAGGGATGGAGAGAATGGGCCCATACCAAGGATGAGTATAAATGACCCAGTGTCTGTATCCAGTATCTGAGATGAGTCTGAGAAAATTTCAGTTAGTGGACAAGTCTCAGCCTATGTCCTGTTGGAAACCGATGAGGGGTCTTCATGCAGGGCTGAGCTGCAGTGCTGCCCCTGAGGCCCAATTTCCCTGTTCCACAGCTTCCTGGTTGGAAATGACGGCAGGGTGTATGAAGGTGTCGGCTGGAACGTCCAAGGCGCACACACCCAGGGCTACAATAACATCTCCCTGGGCTTTGCTTTCTTTGGCACCAAGGAAGGTAATTACAGCCACACCACCTGCTGCTCAGCAAGAGTTCTCTGGGTTTCGTCCCTAACATCCTGCTGTCCTCTCACTGTTCTCGTTCTTCCCTGTTGCTCTACCATCTCCTAGATTCCTCCTTTCCCTTGGCTCCCTAACATCGTTCAGATACCCTTACTGCAGCACCCTTGCTTTCTTCTTCAGCCTTCCTAGCAAGCACCTCTTGTTTCCTCATCACAGTGACCGGAAGTGGCCATCCAGTCTTGTACCTGTAGGTTTGTTATCCACTTCTCATTTTGGAAGAAACTGGGCATCACTTTTTCTGTGTCAATGACTCTACATAGACCTACCTCTGAGCTCTGACCTTTGGGTTCCCATTTCCTGCCAGGCACCTCCTTCTTCCATCTCTCTTACTCAGAGATTTTGTAGACAGGTTTTTGAAGCCACTCTGAGACTTCTAACCCCCCAAGTTCCTTCCACTCTACTCTACAACATTGAATTATGCCCCATTACTCTTTATCACTGTTCACTCCAATAACCATTGCAACAGTTCTGCTATTCTAGACAGGTGCAGCCTGAGTTTTAGAGAGGTAAGTGACGTGTGTGACAGAGGTCTCTGGAGCAGAGTCACACTACCAACTCACGCTCTCCATTTCCAGCCCCAGAGGATTTCCTGCCCATGGGAGGAATTCCTGTTCAGATTGGCAGCTTGTTTTCTTCCATGACCATAAATGGGGTCACTTGTGGGCTCTGGGACTCTGTGCACCATATCTATTAACCTTTCAAATTCCTCTGAAAAATAATCTCTTTGTGACTGTGTTAGTCAGTCTGAACATCTCCCTCAGAGGTTGGTGGTGAATATTAAGGAACCAATCAGGTGACTTTTAGGCAGGCCTTCAGGGAAAGTATCGTGGTCTAGTAAAAACTCTTCAGATAGATCTTTTACTTTCAGGCCTTCTGATGTGGGAGATCAGCCTATTTCCTACCTCATATCCCCACCCCAGCAACTGTACAGGGACTGACAGACACTCCCTCTTTCCTGCAGAATAGCTAGAAACAGCACACAATTGCTTGGGCAGAATGAAACAGGTGACAAGGCCAAGGCAAGCCAGGACCAGGAAGGCCCAGGATTGACAGACCCACATGGAGAAAGGGGAACACCACCCTTCTCTGTCCATGCTCTCACCCATGTCCCCTGCAGTATGCACTCTGCTAGTGTAGACACCAGATAACAACCAGATGGAATCTCAAACAGACTTCCCTCTTTCAGGCCACAGTCCCAGCCCGGCAGCTCTGTCGGCCATGGAGGGCCTGATCTCCCGCTCTATTCTGAAAGGTCACCTGTCACCCTTATTCCATCAGCCACTTCTTGTGAAAGGCGAGAACTGCCTGGCTCCAAAGCAGGAGATGAGTCCCAAGAAAGGTAAGACTATCAATCCAATGGGGTCTTCTTCCAGGATCACTCTTCATCTGTAATTTCCAAGTACCACAGAGAGTGTGGCTTTTCCGGTCAAGGCATCACTGGATTCCTCTCAGAGGGAACCAGAAGGGAAAAAAATGAATTCTCAGGTCCTTGTTTTTCTGCCCTCATCATAGTGTGCCCCAACATCATTCCGCGATCTGCTTGGGGGGCCAGAGAGACCGATTGCCCCAAGTTGATGCTCCCGGCCAAGTATGCCATCATCATCCAAACTGCCGGGAGAACCTGCAACATGTCCGATGAGTGCCGCCTGCTGGCTCAGGATATCCAGTCCCTCTTAATGGACAAATACGGCACCTGTGACACCAGCTACAAGTAAGTGGACCTGCGATAGACAGGCTGCTTAACCCCTAGGAGCAGATGCTAAAGCTTTGAAAGGGAGGGCAAAGGGACTGACACTACTTAACGCCCACCCTATGGGTGACATCTTTGTGAGATCACACTGACTGCTCACACATTCCCAAATGTATCTCAGCTAGAATGCTGTACTGGGCTGTCATTACTCTGGAGAATGTTCTCAAAACGCATATGCTTCTGAAAGGTCATCTCTTCTCTGTGATGTAGGCCAAGAGTTAGAAGAAGATATTAGAGGAAGAGGGTGCAGGTAAATTAGTGAAATGGGTAACAGACATCATCTAAAGGTTTTGCTTTCCTCATGTCATAGCCTTCCCCATCCAGAACTCAGGCTGTACCTCTCAGTTCAACCAATACATGATGTTTATTCTCCCCTATGCTACCCTGCTCCTCTACATCTTCAAACTGTCAGTCTTCTTGAAGAGACTATCTTTCCTGTATGAAGGCAGGGAAAGACCAGATAGTTCCCTGGGCCATCTCTAATGCCAAGAATTCTGAAATTATTTAATGATAAATATTTTGACCTAATGGAGGAGGAGAAGTTTTTTGGAGCTGCTTTCAGAGTCTCAAGAATATGTTTGGGGTTAGACACTGCTTAACATCCCATCAGAATCAGAATAAGAATCTTGTAGTCTGATCTGGAAATCAGGGATTTGATGCCAAGGGGTGAAAAGCAGAATTTGATATAAAATTAATATTAGAGACCTTTCTCTGCCTTTGCTTCTGAAATGGACTGGAGAAAGGACAAACTGAAGGCAGTGAGGTCAATCTGAGATCTGTGCAAAAGTCAAGAGAAGGTGGATGGTGAATGGCTGCATCCCAGAGGAAAATGGAAGAACTCCAGAGGCCACGGGGGTAATTGGGTTCATGAGGACATTTCAGGGAGAGCAATTGGAAGACACATCTGTCAAGGTTGATGCATGAGTTAGAGGGCCACCTAGGGACAGGCTGATAGTGTGGCTTGGAGCCCCTGGTCTGTGCATCACTTTTCACCAGAGTTTATTTGGACCCGGGGCCTTATTTTGAACCTCTAGGAAGAAAAAATCACTTTTCTCGGACTGTTTCAGGCTGATCCTAAAATAAAAACTGTGTTAGGATCTTAGGAACAGGGTGGCCCTGGGACCTATGGAGATGGGATTGGAGCATGGGTCAGGAAACATGTGACTGAAGGAGTGATTCTCAGTCTGTGCCCTGTTGAGCTTGTCAAGATACTAAGTTCTTGTCAAGATACTTGTCAAGATACTAAGTTCAGGAAGAGGACAGGCAGGGAGACAAGGTGAGCCATGGGGTAAATTTGTGGGAAGGAAGGGAGAGAAGGTGAGGCACGGGGTAGATTTGTGAGCATTCTGTATGGCAACTGAATTATTAGTCCTGGGATGAGTTAGAAGACAACTTGGCGCTGCATTCTAAGGAACCTCATATGTTCAGAAAGAGGAGGTACATGGGAATGTGAGGGAAAATACACAGAGAAAACAATTGGGAGAAAGCAGTGAAAAGGAAGCTGAAGGGAGAAAATGTTCTATTAAGCAGGAGGGTTTGGCAAAGTGAAGGTACAGAGAACTCAAGTTAAGCAAGGTCAGGGAACTGAAAGAGGAAGTTGGTTACCAGTCACCTGGGTGAAGCAATTTCATTGGTGAGATATGGGGGAGTCCTGTAGCAAGGATTGAAGCTAATACAATTTTTTTCTCTATAGACTTGAGCTACTCTAGGGCAGGAGAAGTGCGTTAGAATCAGATGGGCTCCAGAGGAAAAAACGCTCTAGACCTAGGGATTTCAAAAGTCTGTTGTTAAATGTTGATACATTGAAATTGACTTTGAAGGTAATTTTGCACCACAGAGATTAGTATAAATCATGACATAAATCAGGGCATCCTGGGACTAGAGAGATAGTACAGTAGTTAAGGCACTGGCCTTGCAGGTGGCCAACATAGGTTTGATCTCCAACATTCCATGTAGTCCTCTGAGCCCACCAGGAGTGATCTATTAGCACAGAACCAGGAGTAAGATCTGAGCACTGCCAGGTGTTTCCCAACACTCTCCTTCTGTAGGTTTCCGCCCCTCCTTTACCCCTGTAATAGCTGATTTACCTGCACAGCACTGGAAAGAACTGTCAACTTTATACCTCGGTGCTTATCAAGCTAATTAGTATTTGACGGGTAAAGACATGCATAAACAAATGGATGAAGCAACACTTCAGTGGTTTCCTTTAGCCTGCTCTCTGCTTCTTCTTATGGTCTTTTAGCTTCCTTGTGGGCCAGGATGGTGCCGTTTATGAAGGAGTGGGCTGGAACATCCAAGGCTTTCACACAGATGGCTACAATGACATTTCCCTGGGCATTGCCTTCATGGGCACCTTCTCAGGTAAGTAGATGCTGAAACAATGGTGGTCATCATCTGATACTTTAGAAGGTCTGATTGAGGCATCATTTTGATGCTGCATGTGCTATATTCACACAGTTCAAATATGACATTTGATCAGTGCAATGTGACCAGAAGTGACCAATCAGACAAAATACTTACCCTAAATCTATTTACTTTTCACTCAACTACATGACTTGATTCCCAAAGATCATTTTGGATAAGGGAAAAGGGGGGTTTAGATAGTACAGGGGTCAAGGCATTTACCTTGCACAGGACACACCCTGGTTCGATCCCAGCAATAAATACAATCCTCCAAGTACCACCAGGATAATCCCTGAACACAGAGCCAGGAGTGTAGCCTGCTGAGTATCTCTCGGTTTGTTCCAAAGAAAACAAGCCAATAAACAAGGAAACAAACATCAGGCAAAGTCCTCTGTGACTATTTCTTGCTGAATTTTTGCCAACACAACAATGTAGGAACTCTGACCTTGCTAAAGCCATGGATGCAGCCCCTGGTCTGTGCATCACTCTTCACCAAAGTTTATTTGGACCCGGGGCCTTATTTTGAACCTCTAGGAAGAAGAAATCACTTTTCTCGGACTGTTTCAGGCTGATCCTAAAATGGGATCTTAGGAACAGGGTGACCCTGGGACCTGATGGAGATGGGATTGGAGCATGGGTCAGGAAACATGTGACTGAAGGAGTGAGTCTCAGTCTGTGCCCTGTTGAGCTATGGATCAGATGGTTCCTTTTTGTGGACTGACCTCTGCATTGCAAACGGATCAGCGGTATCCCTGGCTTAAACACACTAGGTGCCTTGGATATCCTCCCCTTTCTGTGATGACTAGAACTAGCTCTAGGTGCTGGTAAGTATACCTGAAAGGGATGGGGAACAAGCTAAACTTTGGAATTGGAGAAAAACTTTGTACATCCCCAAATAACTATATTTATCCCAGGCTCTGCTCTTGATTAAAGGAAAAACTCTGGCACCGAGGAATCTTGAGCTGCTTTCAGTCAGTCTGTAGAGGTTGGCAATAGTGCGGTTGTTTAGCTCAGTGGGGAAGGGTTAGGTGTATCTGCTGGACCTGCCCTAGACAGAGTGCCCCCAAAATGATGACTGATGGCCATTGTGTTTTACAGGTGCTGCTCCCAATGCTGCAGCACTGGAGGCCGCCCAGATCCTGATCCAGTGTGCAGTGCTCAAAGGATATCTGATTCCCAGCTATCTGCTGGTGGGACAGAGTGATTTGATCAACACTTTGTCTCCTGGGCAGGCTCTGTACAACATCATTAAGTCCTGGCCACACTTCAAACACTGAGAAGTTTCTGCTCCCCAGCCTGCAACCCCCCATGGCTGCTGCTGCTCCTCCCCTAAACTCACCCTCCAATCACACCCACATTAGCCTGTCCACACCTTACAGGCCCCATCCTGCCCCACCTCCCTCAGGTTATTCTGAGCCTTTTCTGCCAGAACCCTCCAGCATCCCACAAGCCCCATAGCTGGGCGTTCTCAGCCCTAAGATCTGGTCTGACACAGAGCCTGCCCACCTTCTTGTCCCTGGGCACTCAGCATTGGGCACAATTGGCTCAGGATCGACTTTCTGTTCCCCTAGCACCTGCTCCTCAGCCCGGTGTACCTGCCACCCCCAACCTCACTGTCTCTCTAGTGACCTGGTCAGTAGTCCTGAGACCCCAACTCTTCTCACAGACTGATGCATCCTTCTTTGGATGTGGCCCTTCCCTAGTGCTGTATTATATAGTATATAATGTATTACCCAGATGTGCCTGTTCTTCCCCTGCATAGGTAGATTATCCAGCTTAATTCCATCTGTTCCTGGTTCCTTGGTATCTCTGCAATCCCATAAATGCTACAAGTGTTTGTTGTAGATATGGATGAATAAGCCAATGAGTGTCCATGTCTCTATTCCTCTCTCCGATTTGTCCCATCACGCCCAGAGAGGAGACAACCATGAATAGTCCCCCATCCTACCAACATTCCCTCTGTCCCCTTCTCTCCCAATGTGGGGCTCAGAACTGCGGGGGGCCCCGCCAGACCACTCTCCGGCCCGCGGAGGTGGCCCTAGGATCCGTAGGTGCAGGGAAGGACCAACTGAATGAAAACAAGACACAAGAGACAGAGTATAGTTTAGAAACAGAGAGAAAAAGGGACAGGCTTTATTGAGGGTGATGGGGATATATATAGTGAGGCAGCTACACAAAGGGTCGTGCTCAAAATGTGGTTAGGAAAGTTACAGAGTCTATAAGTTTAACATACCATGCATTACAAGGCTTATACTAAGTTAATCATTGTCAGTTACAGCCATGACCATTGTTTTCTCAGGATAACCATACAAAGCACAGGCTTTACCTGCCGAGGGTCATGTAGGTCAGGATAGCCCTACCTAGCACAGGCTTCACCTGTTGAGGGTCACTAGGTCAGGTCAGCCGCACAGGCACGTAGGCTCTTGGTCAGTTAAAGGGCCAGCTTCCCACACAGAACTTGCCCTGGTCTCTCCTGTTACTGTGTCTGTCAGTTCCTGTGTCCCTACCCTCTCAGAATCCCCGAGGTAGGACCACATCCATCCTCACAAGTCTCTCAGGTCTGTTGCTAATATGAGACACTCAGAAATAGTAACAACAAACTAATATCTTAAATTGAGCTTTAAAATATTTTAGAATGATACTGTGTAAAAAGAACAATTAATTAGAAGTTTAAACATTTCAAAATCAGTAGAATTTAGAGAATAAGCCATGGAAGAAATACCCATTTCAGAAAAGATTGGCTCAAAGAAACAAGCCAAAAGTGAATAATGCCCTTGAAGATAAAGATTAAATGAAGGAAATTTAAAACTTAAACATAAATCAAGATTTAGGTTTAAAGATCAGAGGGAAAGTAACGAAAGTGAAGGATAAGCAAGTAAGTGATAAGGGATAAATGATTCAATTCCCTTAAAAAACTAAAAAAAGGAATTAGAATAATAAAATCTACAATTCTAAATTCTTTCAAACTTTCCTGAAATAAAATAATAATTTAAAATTATTGTTTTAAAGAATTATATTTTAGGCCCATCCATTTATTTTTACTTATTTTTATTTATTTTTCACTTTTTTTATTCAATCACTGTGGATTAGATCCTTACAAAGCTGTTCATGATTAGATTTCAGTCATACAGTGTTCCAACATCCATCCCTCCACCATGCACATTTCCCAGCACTCGTGCCCCAGGTTCCCTCCAATCACCCCCCGCCCGCCTCCCTCTATGGCAGGCACTTTTCTTCTCTCTCTCTCTCTCTCTCTCTCTCTCTCTCTCTCTCTCTCTGTCTCACTTTATCTCTCTCTCCCACTCACTCTCTCTCTCCTTTCAAAGCCCATTTATTTGAAAAATTGACTCAAAATGACAGATGTTAAAATGTTAAAAGTATACTCAAATTATAGGTTTTAAAGGGGAAATGTTTCTTTGGACATTCAGAAAAATCAAAAGATAAAAACAAGTTAGAAGAGAAAGGAAATGTCATCAAACTTTTTGACAATAGGGATCAGTGAGATAATAGAGTGGGTAGGGAATTTGCTTTGCATGAGATCGACTCAAGTTAGATTCCCCAATACTGCATATAGACCCCCCCAAGCCCCACTAGAAGTGATCCCTGAGTACAGAGCCAGGAGTAAGTGCTGAGCACTGCCAAGTGTGGCCCCAAATTAAGCAAAAATAAATTTTGACAACAGTAATTTAGGAATAAAGAAAATGGAATGACATTTGAAATATAAGGGGAAATGTGACAGTTTGGCATGAAGTTTGGCTTATATTCAATAAAACTGATATTCAAGTCAAAATTATAGACAAACTCTCATCAAGAGGACTCTGGGAGGCTATTGGACAGTCAGGTCTGGGCCCGCAGTGACGAGACATTTTGGGCCTCACAGGATGGGGGTGGAGCCGGGCTTGTCCTCTCCATCCCAACGAAACCCCAAGTCATTGCCCACTAATGGCCTCTCTGGCTCCTGATCAAGCTGCTTAACGGCCATGATCCCAGAGACTCAGAAACAAATCTCGAAACCCAGCGGCTTTTGGCAGAAATGCGTCCGGACCCCGCAATAGGTTACTGTAGTAGTAGGCCACCCCAGCGGGGTAAGGGTGTTGTCTCTCCACCTGCTCCCCCTTGGCAGCTCGGTGGCCGTCATCCTCCAGAGGCCATTGGTTGGACAGTCAGGTCTGGGCCCGCAGTAATGAAACTTGTTGGGCCTCACAGGATGGGGGTGGAGCTGGTCCTGGTCTCCCCATCCCAACGAGACCCCAAGTCATCGGCCCCAAACGGCCTCTCTGGCTCCTGATCAAGCTGCTCAACGGCCATGATCCCAGAGACTCAGGAGCAAATCTCAAAACCCAGTGGCTTTTGGCAGAAATCCCTCTAGATTTGTGTTAAAATTTCGGAATTTCAAAATCACATGGCCCTACTGCAGCCTTGTGACATCATATGTTATTCATAACCAGCAACAGAACACAAATTGTCTACTGTTGCCTTTTCAGCAGATCTGAGTGTTGGAGTAAAATCTCAAATAATAATGGTGGGTCTGGTGTCAAAATATTGAATGTGATCAAAGTAGAGAGAGAGTAATGTGGAAATCATCTGCTCCACAGGTAGGGGGAGGGTGTGGGATGGGGGTATACTGAGGTATTTGGTGGTGGAGAATGGGCACTGGTGAAGGTATGGGAGTTTCATTGTATGACCGAAACTTAGACCCAAAAGCTTTGTAACTGCTCTCACGGTGATTCAATAAATAAAATTATAAAAAAAATGGGGAAAAAAAGAGGACTCTGGGAGTATTGGCCCATGAATTTCCCATCGGAATCTTTAACTGAAATAACTGCAGAGAAAACATTGACGTAATTACCAGAGGTGAGAATTTAATATGTATTTTTTGTTGTACAGGACTAAATAGGTTCCTCCTCATTTACTATTGTGGGCATGTTGTCTGGTTTAATCTCTTATGGAACCCAAAATAGAGACTTCTCAAAAAAGTAGTAATAGTTGCCTCAAAAGAGATTTGCTCTACTCCCCAGAACAAAAAATATCATTAAAAAGAATGTATGCACACAATTATTAATTACAACACTTGGTACAATAGCTAAGATGAGAAATCAACCTGGTCTCCAGCAAAAGATAAGTGGATCGTAAAGGTGTGGTATATACAATGGAACACTACATTGCTGTAAGGAAAAGTGAAATCATGCAATTCCCTGCAACATGGATGGAATTGGAAGATATGTTAAATGAAGCAATACAGAAGATGAGGGATCAATAGAGGATGCTCTCCCTTCTATGTGATATATAGAATAACTGGACAAGGGAATGCAATGTTGAAAGAGGAATGCCTAGATCACCCTTGGCCCAGAGTATAAGAAGGAGAAGGGCAGAGAAGAACAGTAATTAATGGGAGAAGAAGAGATAGACAGGAAGCAATGAGGAACAGGGGCCAATGGGGATACTAGTACATTGGTGGTACAAAGGAGTGTTATAACTAAATATCCAAACCACAGACTCAACAACACTGAAAACAAGACATCCAAAATCCAGTAACTTTGTGGTTAAAATTGTTCCTGTTGAGGTTGCAGGTTAGGGAATGGAGGGAGAGAACCTGGGAACCCTTATGGAAGGAAGAAGACACTGGTGGTGGCAATGGTGCTAGAACATGATATGTCTAAAACTCAACATGGGTAACTTTGTAAATCATGGGGCCTTAATAAAATTTAAATCCAAAACAAACCCAAAATTCCAAGATCAGGATAGATCTCTGGGTAAAACAAGTTTAGTTTAGACATGAGGCCTGCAAACTTGTGTCCAGACGAGAGTAAACCAGGAAATTACCATAATTTTAATGCTATATTTTAAAGGTCCTTGCTGACTGTGTATCACCCTATGGCCACAACTATGTAAATATCCCAACCTCTGCTCTTAATATACCTGTTAACTGTTCTTAATACATCTGTTAATGAAAACTGTGGCTAAAGCGAGAGCCAGGGAACCAGGCCTGGATGTAGAAATCATGTTCAGGAAGTGACCAGTTTATCTCCTTGTTCAGGGCTGTCAAGGCTAGCTTGCAACCTGGACATACCACAGCAACCATCAGTCTCATTCTTTGTGACCAACCCTACTGGACAGAGTCCCAGGTGCCAATCCAGTTGGCTTTATGGTGATAAAGCTCCACATATAACAGCCTCTGCAGGGCCGAGGGGTTCAAATTTGTCACTCCTAAACTAGCAAACAGAAGCACATTCTCGAACTAGCCTCACTGTCACCAAGGCTGGTGGTTCAGTATGAA